CGACACATAAACCGTGTAACACCATACAGCATGATCGAAGGGGACATCACTCCCCAGAGATAGTGCCAAACAGGATAAGTCTCATTCTTACCCGGAACCTTACCTTAATATCTACTTCATCCTCTATCTCTCTCTTACTTTACTTGAACCCTCAAACACCCCCAAACAGACTGATGTTCCGATCCCCGGACGAGACATCTAACCCTTAACCCGTAAACCTATCCCCCTCTGAGTAGTTTTTCCCGGTAGGACGCCCACTGACTTGGGAGCCGGAGAACCTTCAGGAGGAATACCCCCATGTCGTCCTCCTGAAGGCCTGAGTAACCCCTTTTGCTTAAAGATGCTCGCAGGACCAGAACAGGCTTCCATCCTGGGACGACTCACCGCCTTTCACTTCAGAGGACAAAACTAGAAGATGCGGCTCCACCCCTGAACGAATGACAGACCCCCATATGGCATCCTGTAAAATGATTTCAAACAACATCAGTGTACGCCAACCATAAAAAAATATTTTCATCATCAAGTTAATTCCTCAATATTAGACAAAGAGATGAGAGGAAATCTACTGAAATTTTTTTATAAAGTATGATTTCACAAACTTTATAACAAATATTTATTATAATTTTTATTGAAAACAAAAATAAACAATAGATTAACCAATGTTCTATATTTATTTACATGATAAAGTGAAATATTATATTATGTTTTTTAAAAAGTTCTTTACAATTTTTGTTAATATTTAATATAATTTTAATTGGAAACCATATATCATAAAACACTTAAAAATAAGAAACTTTGATTATATACAAAATGGACGGTTTTCATGATTGTTATTAAACACCATAAACTGCATCGTGTAAAAACATAACGTTTGGAGAAAATATCAAAAAAATCAACCAAAACCTAAATATTACAATTTACTTATTTTTAACGCATTCTTACATGTATAAATATACATATTTATTCCTTTTAAAACTCAATCATACATTATACAAATATATATTACAAAATATACACTTTGTTAGTTTTTTTTAACACATAAAAGCCAGCCATGCTTCGATTTTTTCACAAATATATATGTGGATATAGATTTTAATTGTGAAAAAGTTGAAGTCGTATGCGAACTTGTCATGCATGCATTTTGTTAACCTTAATTATAATCCAATTTTAATTTTAGTTACTGGAGAATTTATATACTTTTAAAGAAATTTATCTGTCCTAAGAGCAGTGAGATAGTTGATATGCATGAATGTGCGGACCAACAATCTACCCACTCTTACTATAAGTAAAGATGTTAAAACTAATTTTGGTTAAATTAGCAATAAATCAAAGAAAAATATATACTTAAAATGTATATATTAATAAGATTATATTGTGTAAGAGGAAAAGAAAGCATAGTATAAATAATAATAAAAATATATTATAATAATTTATTTATTATTTAATATAATTTTTAACTTTTTAATTCTATTTTTGCACTAGAAAAAATAAAAATTTATAAAATAAATCAGTTTCAAAATAGACAAAACGATATGAAACATGTGTGTGTGGTTGTTGTTAAACACTTGAATATAAGAAAAATCAAATAGGATTTCATAATGAACTTTATGGTGAAATTCCATTTGGCCCTATAAGATCTCACACATTAAAATTTAAGGAACCTTTTTATGTTGTTGCTTTTAATAAAGATCTTTGGCCGGATGAAACAACATGGCGTTGCGTTCTTCAATTCAGGTCTAACCATAAATTTGAAGCTTCTATTGAAGCGTATCATTCAAACTATCAGAGATCTGGCCAGCTATTGCCAGAACTAATGGGATCTGGTTTACAAAAATATATTGGGATATGCTTAGATTAGTACTTCGATGGAATGTTTCAAAGACTTAATTAAAAGTAATCATTTTATGTTATTAGATAACAAAATATTGTAATAAAAATATTTATATAATAAAAGAAATTTTATTTCTGTAAATACATGAAAGAATTACAGCGCCAATTGTGTGTATACACATTATATAGTTTCCTCAAAAACTCAGCCAGAAAAAAACAAACAATTCATCACAGGAGAAACATCGAAGTTGTCCCTCCATTTCTCAAAAACCGGTCTCAATTCAGAAAGATCTTTGCAATATCGAGATACAAACTCTTCTTAATTAGCTTTCTTAGTAGATTTAGTTCAAAACATGTACTTATTTTACAAACATTTCATACAATAGATTTCAAGATGCACAACATAAACTTGTTTTACAAATGAAAAGTTCAGTCTTAAAACTAAAATGGAAAGCAATGTTAAGCAAAAGGATTAATGTAACACAATATTATCATCCTAAAACCTTCGATAACACATGCATTAATACAACTCCAATGACTGCAATGCACTAAAATGTGTAATCAAGTACCCTTTGATATTTTCAAATTCAACTATCTCAAAAAATTAGAAATGATTTAATAACCATAGATTTGTTATGACTTTGATAAAATTTTCAATTGAATAATGCTGGATTTTGAATTAGTTAAAGAATTAATTATATATTCAATAGTATGAGATTGTAGAAGACATTTAAAAGTTACACATCAATTAGACTGGATTTAAGGAAATGTATGAGAACTCATTTAAAAGAAAAAATTAATGTATATTTAAAAAAAATCATGAGAATCTATTTAAAAAAAACAAAAATTTGTATTTTTGTTTCTATTAGTGAAATTTCATATTTAGATATATGAGATTTGTTAGATTAAGTATATCAATAAAAATGAGTAGTTAAATACCCTCAAATCTTTGCAATTTTTTTTATCAAAACTAAAAAGTATCTAATAACCCTAGATTTATTATGTATTTGATAAGTTTTCAACTGAATAATCCTAGATTTTGAATTAGTCTGAAATAATTAGTTTTGTATCTAGTTTTCTTTTTATACTGTATTTATCATTTTGATGAGTATGTGCCATTGCCACTGCCATATTGTTTAATACAATTATATTTTAGCTTTGATTTAGGTTTTTTACAATTATTAAAATTTAATCATTAATTGGTTTCATGTTAGGGGCCACTCAAACTTATAAAACTAAACACTCATTCATCCGACCACATGTTATATTAGTTATTTTTATGTTTTAATTTATCTAATGAATAGATTATTTACTAAATAAAGAAAAAAATTGTGTTTTTCACAAAAACAAATTATATATAAATACTACATGTTGATGTTGTTTTTATTTTAACAAATACCTTACATCAAAAATATGAAAAATCTAATAGTTTTTATGTTAGTGACGACTGTGTATTTTAAGTTAAACGAAGGTTGTAAGAGAAATCATGTAGTTATTCATAATGAACTCAGTCCTGAGAATGATCTCGACATTGTCTGTAGTGGAGACCCGAACGACAAAATAAGATCTCACACATTAAAGTATAAGGAACCTTTCTTTATCGTTGAATTTGAAGATAAGCATTGGCCAGACGAAACAGGATGGAACTGCGTTTTTAGATACGGGCCTAACCGCAAATTCGTTGCTTCTTTTGAAGCATACCATTCAAATCACAAGCGATGTGGTCAGCTACGTTCATGGATTGCCAAAATCGATGGGATTTGGTTTACTAGAAGATATTGGGATCCTCCAGGTTTAGTACTTCAATGGAACACTACATATTAAAAATATTTTGTAAAATGAACTAATAATATATATGTATGTAATAATATTTACAAAGGTCAAAAATTGATATATAGATTATAAAAAAAAAAAAAAGATTTAAAATTGAATCTTTGATATTTCATTTCTGTAAATACATAAAAAAAATTACAGCACTAATCATGTGTATACAATTATCGCATGAATCAGTAACATCAAAGTTGTCCCTCCATTTCTCAAAAACCTATCTAAATTGAGAAAGATCTCTGCGATGTCGAAGCAAGAGACAAATCACTTTGAAGTTAGTATTGGGATCCAGCTCAACTCCCTCCTCAATGCATTCCCATAGAATATTTTCAGTTGATCCTTCTCTTTCTCCTCGCACAAACCAGAGATAACAGTCCGATACGTGCGTCAGTTTGGCATAACCCCGACTTCTCTCATCTTGGATAAGAATGCATCTGTTAAACAGACGAACCGCGGTGTTGTATTCACCAGCCTCCACAAGACCGTCGATCATCGCAGTGTGAAAACGAGCATCGATACGGATCTTCTTTTTTTAATTATGTTTTCGTATATACTAACGGCGTCGCGAGGTGGCGCACCACCTCGTAGACAAAGCGCAGTAAGAAGTCCAGTGTATGTATAGCAATCCAGAGCTAAATCTCTGTTAGACATGTTGCACCTTCTACCAACGCAATGTCGAAACTAAACAAGTTCCGAACAAGGATCCCTTGGAAAACTTCCAGAGCTCGATAAGCAAGATCGTATTTGAAAAGAACATCCATCATCATGTTCATGGCGTCGAACTAAACCCTGCTTGTGGCGGAGGCAGCAAGGGATGACTATACCGGATTCTGTGGTTTGGTTCTTTTGGAATTCGGTACAGTCCGGTTTTTGCTAATTAACTGAAGATTTTACTTAACAGGCACACATCACCAACAATAATTTATTAACTAGATTGCATGATTTTGCCTAGATTTGGCTATTTTTGATTAAAAACATTAAATTACGAGAAACAATTCTACATTTAGGAACTGCAAGTATCGCACTTTACGAGTGATACGTATAGAAATGTAACTATCCAAAACTATATGAACATGTCAAGGTTGGGAAGAAGATAAAAAGAAGAAAACAATTTCAGACTGATTGTGAGAAGGAAGCTCATAACTCTGAAAGAGCATGTAGAGACAGAACAAACACAGTTCTGTTTCAGACAGAAGAAATTATAGGCAGAAAGAGGTTATTTCTCTAGTTGATCTTCCTCTACTCACCGGACAGGTGATATCTCCATTTGATCTTAATTACAGTAGTTGGACTAAGTTGTGATATGCTTGTTAATATTCGTTTTCTTTCTGTGTGGGTGTCAGCGTATCCTTGATGCCCTTTTCCCATCGGTTCTTGGTGGAACATGTGTGATTCCTGGTGCTTTTGGTTGTGGTAAAACTGTTATCAGTCAGGCTCTCTCCAATGTCGGGTGTTTTTTGGAAGTGTCTCCATTGCCTTGGCCAATCTTTTTGTCTTTGCAGTACTCCAACGAAATGGCTGAGGTATGTCTTTTTCTCATTCTGAATTTGATTCTGGTGTAATGGTTTCTTATAATTTAGGTACTTATGGATTTCCCACAATTGACAATTACATTGCCTGATGGTAAGGAATCTGTTATGAAGCGTACAACACTTGTAGCCAACACCTCCAACATGCATGTGGCTGCTCGTGAAGCCTCAATTTACACTGGTAACATTTATTTCCTTCTGCACAAACAGATTAAATTTTAATCATGACTCGTCTGGAAAACTTATTAGTGTTTCTATTGTAATGTGAAATCCAGGAATCACTGTAGCTGCATTTTTCAGAGATATGGGATATAATGTTAGTATGATGGCAGACTCAACCTCCCTTCATCTTGCTAATGCTCAGTTTAGTCTGCGTCTGATTTACTTTGTTTTGTAGACTGAAATGCCTGCTGATAGTGGATATCCTCCGTATCTAGCGTCTTTCTACGAACGTGCAGGTAAAGTAAAATGTCTTGGTGGATCGGAGTAATGGAAGTGTTGCAATTGTCGGTGCTGTGTCCCCACCTGGTGGAGACTTCTCTGATCCTGTGACTTCTGCAACACTTAGTATTGTGCAGGTGAATTATGGTTTATGGCATTCTTCTCTTACATGACGATTGGGTCTGTTGCTTCTAGTTGTGGATGAAATCATTACACTTTTGTTTTTGCCGTATTACTGCAGGTCTTCTGGGGTTTGGACCAAAAGCTTGCCCAGAGAAAACATTTCCCTTCTGTTAATTGGCTGATTTCCTACTCCAAGTATTTGATAAGAACATTCTTATATTCCTATCGGTAACAAACCAAACCAATACGGATCCAAGCGTATAGGCTTGCAAATCACGTCCTCTTGAATCTCACACTTGAGAAACAAGCCAATCACAAGATGCAACTACAAAGCATGAACCTATTCCTATCCTCTCTCTTCTATTTATACTCATTGTCTTTCTTTACAAGTTTAACCGACTTTCTCTTCTTCTTATTCTCCCGAAGGTGCCAACTCAGCACTAGCCCATCACCTATCAGTATTCTACGGTATGCTTACAATTGTTCAGCATTCCAGAGCCAAATCTTTATATTTTTCCAAGTTTTATGTTAAAAGTAAGAAAAGATTTTTGGGTTTTCGGGCATTGGAAACTTTCTATGAGAAGTTTGATCCAGATTTCATCAATATCAGGGCAAAGGCAAGAGAGGTGTTGCAGAGGGAAGATGATCTTAATGAAATTGTCCAGGTACATGTCACATGTCGTAACATTATAGTAGTACCTATTTGAGGGTGTATTAACGTTGTTTTTCGTTTTCATTACTCAGTTTAAGTTAAAGAAGAAATCAACTAGACCAGCAAACTAAGGCTTATTTTGCATGCAGCTTGCAGGAAAAGATGCGCTAGCGGAAGGTGATAAAATCACTTTGGAGACAGCTAAGCTATTGAGAGAAGACTACCTTGCTCAAAACTCCTTCACACTGTAAGATTCGGCTCGGAATCTTCTCTTTCGAGATTTTAATTTTCGCCTCTATGCTCTCTCTCTCTCTCTGTGTTCATAGGGTAATAACTGTTTACTGCTGAATGAATGTGACAGCTACGACAAATTCTGTCCTTTCTACAAATCTGTGTGGATGATGCATAACATTATTCATTTCTACAACTTGGCCAATCAGGTATTAATCTTGACTTATCAACTTTCTGTGTGATTGTGTTTGTATTTGGGTACTACATACAATCATTTTGATTTTTGAAAAATGTGATATATTTGTGATTAACACAGGCTGTTGTCAGTTGAGAAAGCAGCTGGAATGGATGGTCAAAAGATTACTTACACTCTAATCAAACATTGCTTGGGAGATCTTTTCTACCGTTTAGTGTAAGCAAATCTTCATTTGTTCCCCATGGAATCATTGTAGTTCTGATAATATGAGGAAGCTGTGTTCTCAATGAGATTTGTTATCACATAACTATGCAATGGAGTTGGATTATAGGTTGGTGAGAAAATAAATCGAGATATAAACTTAAGTTTTGGTTATCTGAATCACACAGATCTCAGAAGTTTGTAAATCCAGCTGAGGGTGAAGGTACACTTGTAGCCAAATTCAAGAAACTGTATGAAGATCTGACTTCTGGATTCCGCGCATTGGAGGATGAAACTCGATAACCAAACAGTTTCCGGAAATCTAAAGTCTTCCACCCATCGTCACAATGGGATGATGATGAGTCCATGAATCCAGGTTTTGAGCAAAAAAAACATTATGTGGTTGCTGCGTTGCCTCTATAATATATACTAGATTTTGGATTGCTCGGATTTTCTTTTTATAAAATATTTTTAGATCATAGCAAGGTTTATAAAAAAAAAATTAGTTTATATTATTAAATCTAAATTGTGACCCAAACGAAAATTTTTTATTAGATTATATAAACTATTTTAACATTATGGTTATATGTTCTTAAAATTATTTAGGCTTGATTTTATATAAAAAAAAGTTTTGATTAGCAAATTTTTTGTTAAGTTTTGTAACAAATATTTTAAAATATTACGTTTTATAATGCAAGAGAGATTTTATTAGTTTGTAATTAATATTTTTAGGCTTTGTTTGTTTTTACCTCCAAATACTTATTTGTATGTAAATGCTCTCAAATATTGTTTTTTAAATATTTTTAAATCAGTATATAAATATTTTATCTGAATACAAATTCTATAATATCTCAAAATTTGGATACTTAAAATACTAAAAAATAGAGACTTGATGCAGCATTTGAATCTCAAAAATTAACAGATTAAAAGAAAATCTAATTTAAACCACAAAATCAAGTTTTTTTTGTCAAAACCATTTTTTCTATCAAAATAAAAAGTCGCATTTTCCCGCAAAATCGTAAAATCACGTTGTTGTACCAAAACGGAAAATTCTGGTAGAAACTGTAAAAATAGCATTTTCCATTAAACCATATTTTCCTGCCAAAACTGTAAAACCGTATTTTATAGATTTTACATAAAATTGTGTTTTACGATCAAATTTTTAAACTCGTGTGTTTCTGCCAAACTCACAAATCCGCATTTTCTCGCTAAAACCTGTAAAACCCATAAAATCCACAAAAATACGTTATTAGCATTTCGCAAACTCGTATTTTCCCATAAACCCGTAAAATCTACAAAATCGTGATTTACGACCAAATTTCAAAAATTATGTGTTTCTGTTAAATCTACAAAAGCACATTTGTTGTCAAACCGGCATTTTCTCGGAAAACTATATTTTCCGCTAAAATTTATAAAACCCGCTAAATTTATAAAACCCGTAAAATTTACAATTTATTTGTCAAATCCGTAAACCTATAATTTCTCGTAAAAAAATCATTAACAAACCAGAAAACCCCACATTTTTTAACAAAACCAAAAATTATGTTTTCCCCCAACATCATAAAATCGTATTTTATGGCTAAATTTTTAAAATTAAGTAGTTTTTGTCAAACTTGCAAAATTGCATTTTGTCGTCAAACCCACAAATCTACATTTTCAATAAAATTCATCAAACCACATTTTTCATCAAAACCTATAAAACCCGTAAAAACATAGAATCCGCAAAATTGCGTTATTCGTATTTCGCAAACCCGTATTTTCCCATAAACTCGTAAAATCTGTAAAATCGTTATTTACGACAAATTTTCAAAAATTATGTGTTTCTGTTGAATCTACAAAAGCACATTTGTTATCAAACCGCCATTTTTTCGGAAAACTATTTTTTCAGCTAAAATTTATATAACCTGTAAAATCTACAAAGTTGTGTTTGTCAAATCTGTAAACCCATAATTTCCCGCAACAAAATCATTAACAAACCAGAAAAAACTAAATTATTTACATAATTTTTTTTTCATAGTATGTATATATGTAACCAAAAAAATAATGATTATATATTCATCATTGACTATAAATTTTCACATTTAGTAAATGCCATAATATTTTTAAAAAATTTTAATGTAGTGTTTTTTTGTAATACTTTAGAGAAGAAATTGATTATAATATAATATATATTTAATTTTTTTGTCAACAATATATATTTAATTTATTATATAATATATATAATTATATTAGTTATTCATACCATATATATGTGCTAGTTATGTTAAGATATTATGAAAGATTTTAAAATAATTTTCAAAGTAAATTAATTTAAATTTTATTATTATCAGATATGATTTATTGATATTATCTGTTAACAAACTAATATAATTTAATTTAATTTAATGTATTTATTAACAGTTTAATGATAAGACTAAGGGGCTGTTATTGGTTTGTATATTTGTAAAGAGTTTTGATGACTTTAAAAATTAAATACTTTAATGAACTTTAAAAGAGTTTAGAATTTATAAAAAAAGTTTTGTAGATTATTATAGAATTTTTAACTAGAAGATAATCAGTAACTTTTGTAGAGTTTATCTTTAAGTATTGCAAAATATTTATTTGTTTATATTTGTTATTATCTAATTTATTATTTTTTTTTACTTTTCATCTTCTATAAATTATCTTAGGCGTTTGTTCATTATCATTTCAAAACTTAAGGTACATACTAAACTATCTACTTTTTTCTTCCAAATTATGTTTATGCATTCATGTATTATCTGTTTGTTTGACTGTGTGGTTTGGTTTGGTTTTTTATATATCTTACGTTATTGTTTATTTTTAAAAAAATTCGTATTGATTAAATGATGATCTACACTTGTATAATTAGCTATGAGAGATTCACAAAAAAAAAAGTCAGTATAATCAGTGGGAACCTGAGGAAACAAAATTGTTGATCGATCTACTTGTAGATGTAATTCACAGAAACTGGCGTGATAGTAATGGTTTAATAACCAAACTCACAATGGAGCAAAACATGTGTTATCATTCAGAGATTATGAACTTCTAAATTTATAAGATGATTTTTGAAGATGATTTTTGAAGATGATTTTTGCTTTTGTTGTAAGACATGTTATAATTCAGAAATTATGAAGTTTGTGTTGATATTAGGTTACGTGGTGTTTGTGTTCATTTTTTTTTTGTACGCAGTCATTTATTAATTGAGACTTTTTGTATATATATATTTTTAATTGGTTTTTAAAAAAAATTATAGACAAACTTTGAAAATACTTGATTAACATACAATACTTTGTAAGTAGATTTTATAAAGAAAAATATGTGAAGTCAATAAACCAATAACACCAGATTTTAAAATAATGACAAAACAAGAGTATTTCAAATTTTTTGAATAACACAAAACTTTTATTAACTTTATAAAATTATGAATCCAATAACACTATACTTTTAAAGATTTTGAACTACTTATTACAAATTCATAAACTAATAACACTAAACTTTTAAATAGTTTTGAAAAGTCTTAATTGAATAACACCATAATCTTTTTAAAATCTAAATCTTTATAACTCTTTCTAAATATCAAAACCAATAACACCCACTAAATTACCTTAATGAATCTATAAAAATTTAATGGTATATATTGTAAATAACACATTAACTAAAGGTTAATTTAAAAATTGGATTCTCTTTTAATAGTATAGATTTGATCTCTTTTTCTCTCTTCATGATTTCATTTCTTTGTTAGTACAGACGAGAAGAAAATATAGTTCCGTGTACTCAAACGCAATAAGAGATATTATCATCATTACATTTCAATTCTTAAGAGTCCCATAACATTGATGCTAAGCCATGCTATTGGTCCTTCGATATAGTTACTTTTATATTCCACACACATATCAGATTGTTCAAAAGGGTTATTACTCTCACTATTTCAAGAAAATGAGAATTGCAGAAGATACATTCCTAGAAAATGTCTCTTTGGCATTAGAGAGTGAAGACCACATAACTGAACAGTTATAGGAAGATAACATAACAAGAATAGATCGATACGCAGAGTAAGGCAAGGCCAGCCAAGAATTACATTAACCAGGTCCGACTTTAGGAATACTGATTGAAATCCTCAATCCTGTTACGGTGAGACTTGTTGGCTTCCTTGGCTAGTTTCTGCACATCCAGTCTCTGCTTCTGTTCTATGATCATCATCATGCTGAAATTTCGCATCCTCGCTCGCCTTTTCACTCCTATCCTCTTCTTCTTCTTCTCCTTCGATTAGTTTACCCAATGCTTCTGCGTTTTCTCGTATAACCAACCCCAACATAGTCAATACAACATAATATCAGTTTTTGTTGTTGTCAGTCATTAGATCTTTTAACTACATTACAGTCCTTTTGAAGATTTTGTCCTTTTTTGTGTTACTAACAGAAAAGTGTACATCAGATTACCTCATGAATATGTAAATTCTTGAGTTACTTTAGTTTTGTGAGTTTGTCTATAGAATACAAGAGCATTCCGTTTTTTACCTCTGCAATTTTCTCATACAAGTCTTCAATGAGATCACTACTCCATCATCTTCATTACCAAAGATCTACAACTCTCCTATCTCACTCAAATACCTGCCACGAGAAGAAGAGAATGAGAAAAATAATTCGGATGGGATCAAACGCCATGACAAAGTTTAAAGTTTATTATATTTTTGGGTTTTAATGATTTTCTCAGAGTTACGAATGGAGTTCTTTTCTTTTTTTTTATAAGAAATTCTATGCAAGTACATGTTAAAAACAATACTTAACATTTAACAAGCGTCAAAAATACAATTAATGCATAAAATAATAATAAAACTAAAAATATTCTACATCAAATTTGAAAAGGAAATGTGATGTGGATTTTTTTTATAAATAGTGTATATTTTCGCCCACATTCATTTAGTTGACAAAAATATTCATAAATTTTATTTTTCAAAATATAATAGAAATTAATATCAAAACCCCAAATTAAAAACAAAACAAAAATCCTCTAAAAAGATATTAACTCATATTTATACTAATTCTTCTAAAAATAATTAAAAAGTCTAACTAACAATTAAAACAATATATGCCTTAAAGTTTATAGATAGTTTTAAAATAATAGTATATGTCAAAGTAAAATAAAAATCATGAAAATCTAAATAAAAAATATCTATAAGAAAGATTAACTTTTGATTTTTTAATTAACTCTTTGAAATATCAACAACAACAAATCCTAACTAACAACACATAAAATAATAACATAGAATCGTACATGCCAAATAAAATATAAATTTAATAGAG